TACCTGGCCAATCTTCTCTAAGATCTTAAAAAGGACCATAGTATCTAACTATCAGTTTAAAAGATGATCTAACTACCAAAGAACTCTGTTTATAGGGGTATAACTTGAGATAAACCCAATCTCTAACCTATAATGTTCTCTTAGATCTACCTTGATCAGCATAAAACTTCATACATGCTTGAGTTTCTCCAAATTATCCTTGAGGATTTTCATCACTTGCTGTCTTTTCTCAAAAATATCTCCTGCTGCTGGAATGACCATAGAAGAATATGATCCTAAAGGAATCTGAGTAGGTGGCACCCCGTATAAAGCTTCATAGGGTGTCATCTTTGCATTGAATTGAAATGAGGTGTTATACCACCATTCTGCCATCACCAACCAAGTAGTTCACTGATTTGGAGCTTGACTGCAAAAGCATCTTAAATAAGATTCCAAGCATTGATTTAGTCTCTCAGTCTGTCCATCACTTTGGGGGTGATAGGCAGTGCTTAAACAAAGCTTCACTCCCATAGCTGAAAATAAGGCTTTCCGAAAATGACTAATGAAGAGCCTATTTCTGTCACTAACCATAGAGTTTGGAATGCCATGTAATCTGAATACCTCTTTGAAGAACACAACATCAACTGTCTTAGTTGTATAAGGATGTGCCAAGGGAATAAAATGTCCGTACTTGGTTAATCTGTCGACCACCACCAGTAAGGAATCAAAGCCTTCAATGGATGGAGGCAGATTGTCAATAAAATCCATATAAATATCTTTCCTAGCTTCCCGAGGAATCTTCAATGGTTGTAATAAACCAGGTGAAACCACACGTTCAGCTTTATGAGACTGGCACATACACAAGTTCTCACCATTTCCTCAACATCAGCTGCCTGATTCTTCCGAATGAAAGTGGATTTTAGCTTTTGCCAGGTTGCCTGACCCCCCAAGGGTGATGAATGAAAATGGTCTAACAACTCTTTTGTGATCCTAGCTTTACATCCCACAAATATCTTTACCTTCTATTTGAGAATGCCATTTATAAACTAAATGCCATGATTCTGAGCTGGATCAAGGGTGGCTACAACAATCATCTGTTGAGCCTCTACATATCCTTCATAACTGTCCTCTACTTGTCTCATCCAATTAGGCTGACCCGTGGAAATGACATTCATATCAACAAGTTCTTCCATTTTTGAAGTACTTATAGACAAAGCATCTGCCACTACATTCTCTTTACTCTTCTTGTATTGAATCTCATAATCTAACCCCATCAGTTTAGCGAACCATTTGTATTGCATTGATGTAGTCAATTTCTGCTCCAATAAGTATGTTAAAGCTTGATGATCAGTTCTAATCACAAAGTGATGGCCTTGTAAGTAATGCCTCCATTTTTCAATAGTCACTACAAGTGCCAATAATTCCTTCTCACAAGTAGATAAACTCTGATTTCTTGGATTGAAAGTTTTACTAATGAAGGCTTAGGCTGCCCTTGTTGCATTAGCACTGCTCCTATACCAGTCAAGCAGGCATCAGTTTCCATTACAAATGGCATACTGAAATCAAGTAATCTAAAAACAGGAGCACTAGTTCACCTTCAACCTTTGGAATGAACTTTGAGCTGGCTCAGACCACTGAAAAGCATCTTTCTGAGTAAGTTGGTTAGAGGTTTACTTATAATGCCAAAATTCTTGACAAACCTCCTATAATAACCAGCAAGTCCCAAGAATCCCCTCAGCTCTTTAAGAGTTTTTGGTACTGGCCATTCTACAATTCCTTTAATCTTCTTAGGATCCATTTCAACTCCTCTTTCAGAAATGACATGACTTAAGTATTCCACAAAAGTTTGTGCTAAGGAACATTTTGATTTCTTAGCATATAAGGTTTGATCCTTTAAAACTTGCAGTATTAGTTTCAAATAGTTAGCATGTTCCTCCGATGTAAGGCTGTAAACTAATATTTCATCAAAAAATACTAGTAAAAACTTCCTCAAATAAGGTTTGAATACCTGGTTCATTAAAGCCTAAAAAGTTGCTGGTGCATTAGTTAATCCAAATGGCAATGCCAAAAATTCACAGTGGCCATGATGGGTTTGGAATGTTGTTTTTGGAATATCTTCTGCCTTTATCCTAATTTGATGATAACCAGGCCTAAGAGTAATTTTTTAATAGAATCTTGCACCCAATAGTTCATCCAACAGTTGTTCAAATACAAGAATGGGGTATTTACTCTTGATGGTCAACTCATTAAGCTTCCTGAAATCAGTGCACATCCTCCATGACAAATGTTTCTTTTGCACTAATAATACTGGGGAAACATAAGGACTGTTACTCTCTTGTGCAACTCCATTCTTCAAGAATTCATCCACTTACTTTTCTATTTCAGCCTTGTGTGCATGAGGATATCTATATAGTCTCATTTTAAAAGGTTGAGCATCAGGCTTTAATGTAATAGAATGATCAAAACTTTTCACAGGGGGAAGTTCTGTTGGTTCCTGAAAGACTTTTGGAAATTGATCCAATATCATGAAAATCTCATTAGGAATCTTTGTTAGAATCACAGCATTGAGATGCCCAGCATTCTCATAATACCCATAGCTTCTCCTTCTCATTGCCTCTTGTCTCTTGTATTCATGTTCCCAATCATTTCTCTGCCTCTTTCTATAAGCAACCTCCTCTAAAATTCCTTCAATCTCCTTGTGAGCTTCATATGAGTTCCCTTTGATGAAGAACCTCTCCCCTTTTCTATGTAACTGAACAGTGAACCTCTCAAAATAAAAAAATTGATGGGACTGAACTTACTCATCCGATCAGTTCCCAATATAACATCCTATTCCCCCAACTCTAAGATTTAAGATCAAATATGAATTTATGATGTTGAATGGTCCATTCTGCTGCTAGACACATCTTATCATTCCTCACCTTATGGCCATCCCCCACTGTTACTACAAAAGGTCTAGTCTTCTTGAAATTAAGTCTCAATTTTTTCACCAGCTTATAGAATATGAAACTTTTGTTGGCTCCTGTATCTATCAGGATTTTGATCAGCTCATTGTTAATATACCCATAACCACAATGATCTTAGTTTCTATCTTCCTCCCGCATTTCTCAACAATCATTAATGTAATTCATCGTTTGCAGTTGAGCATTTGGAAACTCCAACAGCTTGCCAGCATCATCATACTCATCATGTAATACATAAATATCTCCAATATCATCATCTTCCTCAGCTATAATCACATGCACCTGTTTCATCTTGCATACATGACCAGGACACCACTGTTCTCCACACCTCCAACATAGATTGTTATTCCTCCCATATTGTATCTCTTGGGAAGCCACTCTCTTGAATCCTTCATATCTTCTATTACCATTGAAATTGGTCCTGATTGGAGGTTGATTCTGAGTTTAATTGGTCACTGGAGTAGCTACATTTGTCCCCACAATTGTACTTTTTACTGCAAATTCCACAGTCTACTCCTGTACCATTGTAATTTCAAAAGCCCTTAAAAGGGAAAGGGGTTCCAACAATCTCACCACAGATTTCAACTCTTCTTTTAAATCACTAATGAATCTGGAAATGAATACTGCTCAGATAGGTGAGGATCTTTGCATAAGACCAGGAATTTCAACTCCTCAAACTGTTCATGATACTCCATCATTGTTCCCTTTTGCTATAACTTGTTGAATTCCTCAATCTCATTTTTCCACCTTTTTCACCAAATCTCTTCAATAATTCCGTTTCAAACTCAGTCCAGGACATAGAACCTTTTACCCTCCTCAAACTTTAGTACCAATTATCAGCCTTCCCTTCTAAATACAGTTCAATAGCTTCTAACTTATCCGGATCTGAAATCTGATAAATGCTAAAGAACTTATCACATTTCCTAATCCATTCTCTCGGATTATCCCCAAAGAAATTTGGTAACTCCAATCTAGGCTGACACATCCATTGATTTTTCACAAACTTTTCCTTTCTAGAACTAGACATATCATCATTAAGATTAAAATGAGGAATACCAGTAGGAGTGGGCAAGATCCTTGCTGATTTGAGGAACTAGGATTCTTACTTGAAGGGGAACTCCTTTTTCTCCTCTATCCGATGGTTGTTAACTGTTGATGCAGATCTGAAATCTGAGAGCTCAAAACCTTGAGCTCCATCGAATGTTGATCTTTCCAGCAGTCACCTTACTCGTCTCTATTATCTGCTGTTCCCATTGTTTCCTCCATTATCTGTGAATCATACCTTTTAATATGTTCTTCTAAGGACTGTGTTTTAGATATAGCATTTTCTGCCATGGTTCCCACAAGTTCAGAACGAATCACTCTGATAACCAAATGTTATGAAGTTGTCTTCTTATATTGTAATTTTTACTAATAGTACTGTTGAAGATAAGAAATGATTGACGTAGAGGATTGAACAAAATAAAGAAAAGAAGAAAAATGAAGAAAGGAAGGAGAGAGAAGAAGAATGGGAGGAAGAAATAGTTTTTAATTCGTAATGATGATTAATCTGATCAACACAGTACAATTTTTAAACTAATGCTCCTCATTTTGCTAATTACATGATCAACAAGTAGATAACTACGCCACGGAATCAAGGAAACAGCTAGAACTTCACGTGATCATCTGAGCTGTATTGAACATGCATGCATGGACGAGTCAACAGAAGTCAAAATCGCATCTTCTTCAATTCAGCTCCCAAAACGACGTTGCAGTCCCCCAGTTCCTAAACCTAATTTCATAATTTGGGGAACAACAAATTAAACTATAAATATTAATTTAATTCTGCCATGAAAAAAGACTCCTAGTTAACTCCTAATTATTCTGTCAAAGCTTTTCACCATCTTGATCTCTTCAGTGTGTATCAACAATTTCAAGTCGGCTCACTTTCTTCTCTTCCCGGCAGAAAACAAAAAAAAAAAAAAATTCCCCCAAGCTGAAAGAAGAAATGGGCTTTATATTGGGCTTTCTATTAGATTAAACGAAAGGCCCAGTATTTTCATAAAAACACAAAAAATAAAGAAAGTAGGCCCAATTCCAGCCTTCGTCAGTCTTCTTCCAGTCGTCTTCTCCAACCCCCCGCTGCAACTCCTTTGCTTTCTTCTTCGTCTTCTTCATCTCTCTGTACTTCTCCTCTTCTTCCTTTATTGGCCTTCGAGTTGCACAATGAAAGATCTTCAATTAAAATGTCGACTGAATTTGCCATAGATTGCATACGTTATCTCTCTTGGCGAACTGTTTCCTTAGAAAGCTCAGATAAAAAAAAGGTTCAAAGAGCCCCGTTGTTCATACTTTGTAATGGATGTGTTATATGGTTCCATTGATATCCGAGATCTCCTCTCCTCAACAAATCTCGATGACCCATCAACCCCACTCTCTGCACCCGATCTTCACCTCCTAATCGACCGCCTTCAGGTCCATTCTGTTCGCATCAAATCAAAAGTCCATGACTACATTCGATCGCACCAATCCGACTTCTTGTCACTTTTCACCCAATGCTCTGATGTGGCTGCAAAGACCGAAGAACTTTCCGCCGAATTAGTTTGTTTACATAGTGTGCTCTCTGATAATCCTGTTGATGCGAATATTAAGTTCACTATTGAAGACATTGTTGGGAAGAGGAAAGAATTGAGGGAGAAAAAAGAATTGTTTGAGTTGTTAGGGTTGATTCTGGAACTATGCGAGAAATTGAGAGTTGTGAAAGACGGCATTCAACAGGGGAGAGTCGAAGAAGCTGCAGCGGCATTGAGTGAGCTGAAGATTGCTTTCAGGGTGGATGATGATCAGGGAGAAAGCGGGCTTTTAGTTTATGACATATTGAGGAAAGAATGGACTGATTGTTTTGATGAGGTAAATATGTTTATTATTTAGAGTTTTTTCTAGGCAGCATTTGGCCCGAAATAGAATTTGAACTTCGGCTTGTTCTTTAATTTTGCTGGTCTATCAAAAAGCTTTAGTCGTTTCTGATTAAAATAATGCTTTCTTCTTAAGTACTGTGTTTGTTTAATCACGGTTTCTATTTTTCCAAATATTGTGATTCCTTGTGTCTAAATGTTTCATTTGATGTCTAGATGCAAGATACCCTAGTTATATCGATGGATCAAGCTGTGCGATTCGAGCCGGAGAGCAATTCCATTCGAGTGAAGAGTTGGTTCAAGATGAATGGATCAAATAAGATGGAGCTTTATACAGTTTTGAAAGCAATGGATGTAAGTTAGTGCATTTACTTCAATGACTTCAGGAATTTCGATTTTGAATTAACAAAATGTCATTTGTTTGCCCGAATTTGTTGGATTATCTTAGTTTAAACTGCGGAGTTGACAACATATGCTCACTATTCCTGCGCACTTGTACTTTTCTCAAAACACTGTATCATGAAATATGATGTTTCACTCCACCGGCCTATTGTGATTAGATATGTCAGCATAGTTAAGTTTGGATTATATTTGATTTATTCATCGCTTTTGTTATGCTAGACAGTTGGAGTTCTGGATTATGGACTGGCCAGAGTTGCTGACATGATGATTAAGCACGTTGTTAGTCCAGCTATTGGTCGTAGGGCATGTATAACTGTGGTTGATGGAGTGGCTGAGGATGACCAGAAAACGACTGAAACTGTTCTTAATGTAGTTTCATCTACTCATGACACGGTAGTGTTTTCTGATACTATTATGCTAGTTCAGTTTTAACTTTTTTGGGTGGAATTGATAATGATTTGCAGTTGAATATTTGCTAATAATGACCTCTAACTTCTGCAGGCAGATGCTTTGGACAGTGAAAGAATCTTTTCAGCTCTTCTCATAATTGTTGAGTTCATCAACAAATCTATATGCTGTCAAAATGGGCATTGGATGCGTTGTTTCGGAAGATTAACATGGCCGAGGATGTCAGAGCTGATCATTTCTAACTTCCTTTCGAAGGTCTCTTGAACCTAATTTTATTTTCTTATAATATAAAGACACTTCTTTTGTACATAAACTTTCATCCAAAGATTTAAAAAAGCTGAAGTTCTTTATATCGGATTTGTGGTACTTGTGCTAGTAGCTTAGTCTAATTTGAAAGGACTTTTATTCATGCTCAAGAGTAACTTCTATTATTTTTTTTTTTTCCAAAGGAAGAAGTACTCTCAGCTTTTTGAACTTGTTTTATTAGAAAACTGTTATTAGCTGAATATATTTACTGGCAAGCATATGTACTTAGTGTAACACGCTGCATGTATTAGACTAAGTACGAATGTGCATTTCAATTTTGATGACTTTTGGGACCATGCCTAATTTCAGTGTTTGGCCATGCCTGTATTCTCACAACTGTACAGTAATTTATTATGGGTTATGCAGTGCATTTTCAGTGAAAAAGGCAAATGCAAAATTTAAGGGGTCCTCTAGTAAATGTGTAGAAATTCTTATTCCTTAAGTTCCTGGTTTCAGGTTGTGCCAGATGATGCTTCCAAATTTGCTGACTTTCAGAAAATCATAAAACTTTCAACAGATTTTGAGGCAGCTTTGGAGGAACTGATGTTCATTTCTTCCTCTGATAGCAAGGATAAAAGATTAAGTGAATTTGTTGACAATGTTGAGATTCATTTTGCTGCTAGGAAAAAAGTTGAGCTTTTAGCTAATGCTAGATCAATGCTTCTACATTCGGGCTTTAGTCTTCCTCCAGTGAGTCCCTTTGTCCATACTACTACCTTTTGTTGACAACCTTTTACTTCATGCCACTGAGATGATATTGCTATGTTTAGGACTACAGAAAGGTAAGTAGCAGCTTGAAGATGGAAGAAACTGCTGAAGATCATGCAGATAACTTGGTCAACTTGCTTTTTACGTCTGAAAAGTGTATTGTATCTGAAGCAGCTTTGAAATTGATGGAGTTAGTGCACAAAGCCCTTAGGGTGAGTATACAAACAACTTGGCATATGAATGATCCTGCCAGTCAAGAATTTCTGTTACTGTTCAAGTTTAGTACCTTCTTTGAAGATCTTTTTGCTGTTCAATTAGATGGTTCCCCATACTGTCCAACCGGTTTTTGTAGTAGGATGTCTTTTTGCAACTATATCATGCCACATTGCAATTAAGCCTATGGATGAGCCGGAAATGTTAATGAATTAATCTTGCTTGGCGCACCCAAATCTTCTCATTGTTGTTAATTAGTTGGTCCTGCTTGTTGATTTTGATGCTTGTTGAAATAAACAAGTGAAGAAACCAAAGGATTTCTGCAAGACTATCTTCCTTCTTGAACTGTCCTCCGAACCGAATGAAGTTGGGCTGCATCTGTTATTGTTGTTGTTGTTTTGTTGTTGTATTATCTTCCTTCTCGAACTGCCAGATCTTTTTGCATTATCTTTCTGGTTATCATTTCAGTAATTGTATGGACAAAGTAGACTATCCTAGAGTTGAGTTAATTTAGTGCTAGCCGCACAATAGAGACCGTAACTTCAAAGGTTTCATCATAAGTTGGTAGCTGCACCTTAATACCCTTGATGTGATTAAGGATGGATACCCGGTGGGTCACTCTGCTAAGTTTTGCTTATCCAGAAAATCAAACGTTAACTTTTTTCTCATCGTGAGTGTTGTTTATCTGGAAAACTAAGAATTTAAACTATTTTAAGATACTGTGGCTGAGTTAATGGAACATTTGATTTTTTATTCCCCAATCTAATTTGTGAAGTGACTTGCTAGCATCAAACAAACAAGTGATAAGATTTTTGTCTAAGTTACATGTTATATTGTATCTTTGTAAATGTAGACTATATAATTGCCGTGATTTGCTTTTATCTTTGTCGAAATACATGTGTTGGTGAAGTAAAATTTAATCGGCAAAAAGTATGGAAGTTCTAGTACATAATATGTCTTGTTCTTGTGGCCTGCCAAGTGTTTGTTTTCTCTGATGACGGTTAGTTGTTCACTTCTCCATGGACTCACATTCATTTTCATTGGTGTGAGAAGAGTACTAGGTTATCTGTATGTATTTGTATACACCAACCTTGGTGAACTGATGTGGTTCTTTTTTCTCTACATTACCTTATAACTTCATTCCTCATGGTATGATTCGAAAAATTTGACCTGTAATTTGAAGATAATCTATAGTTAATATTTATTGTAATAGAGTGTTTCATTTTCAGGATGTGTGCTTGTCGTCGCCAAGAGTTGGATTGGAGTTCTATCATGCTGCTAGAGATGCTCTCCTTCTTTATGAAGCTGTTATACCTGTCAAGGTTAGTATATGAACTTGAGTCTGTATCATTAGAATGAGTTGTTTTTTACATATTGGAGAGAGTTGTAGGATATGTTGCTAGTGAGAATTGACCTTGAGTTTTGAAGATTGGCTGCAATTGTTATCGATAAACTAATCATCAAAAAATAATATCATATTTTGGTTTGCGAAGCTGGAGAAGGAGCTCGATACAATTAACCAGGGAGCTGTTCTCATACACAATGATTGTCTGTATCTGTCTCAGGAGATCCTTGGTCTTGCATTTGAGGTGTGTATGAATTTCCTTGTTTCTTCATCAGCATGCTACATTTTGAACTCGTAATCTTCATATACTTGGTAATACCGTTTCCACCTGTACAAATGTAATTTCTGTAGATTTGAAAGTAGACCATAGTTGTTAGTTGAGGCTTTTTTTGTGCTTTGTGTTGTTTCTAATGGATTATGAGCAATGAAGGAGCTGCTATGTGAATTACTAAACAAACATCTGAAGAAAAGTGGAGTTCAGAAAACAAGTTTCATTGTACGATAGAGCTCTAAGTAGTAGTAAAAAAACTGGTCTGTGGAGACTTGGAATATTTGAATGAGTTTATGGAAATTGGGATTGTCATGAATGCAATTTAGCTTTCTTGGTAGGACTTTGGTTAAGGTTTTTGTGGTAGATAAAATTTTCCTTGAAGTCCAAGAGAAATTTTTACATGTTCAAGGTTGTTCTTTGTGATTTTATGTCTTTTACTGTTTATTCTGTTGGAACTCTGAACTGTAAACTGAAACCTAACACGTAACTGTGGTATGTGTTTCCTGCTGATTTCGGTCCCGTTGACAAGTGGTAACCACTGTATTCAACTTTTTACCCCTGATGAAAGTTTCTTTAGCTAGAAAAATTTACATGAATCTTCTCCATTTCTAGCATGTTTGCAGTTTATTAATCGTTATTGAATGAATTGGCTCTAACAGTATCGTCCAGACTTCCCAAACCCTATCAAAGAACATGCCGTTTTTGCTGATCTGGCTCCAAGATTCCAACTCATGGCAGAACAAATACTGGACAGACAAATTCAAGTTGTCATTTTCAACTTGAATCAGGTGATTGCTTCTGAAATTTAAATTTAATGTGAATGAGAAGTATAACTTGATGAATTTTTGGGCGGGTACTAACTTTGAAATAAAAATATTGTGATTTACTAGGCTATTGATGGGGCTGATGGGTTTCAAAACACCCACCTCACGAAACAGTACGAGTCTGCTAAGTTTAGTATCGACCAGGTGACCTTCGTCTCAATCCTTCCTGCTGAAATCATGACGGCATTAGAATTAGATACAATCCATATTTTTCACCTACAAGAATCATCCTTGTTGTATTTCTCTAGCTTACCTATTTAAGTCCTTCTTGGTAGGTGGCGTTTATACTTGAGAAAGTTCACATTATTTGGGAACCTCTATTGATGCCTTCAAGCTACAAAAAGTCCATGTGCATGGTTCTGGAGGTAGTTTTCTCAAAAATAGCAAAAGACATCCTTAATTTAGATGATATGGCGGCAGAAGAAACTTTACAGGTACTAGTGTTTCCAAACTTATCTGATAAAAACCGTCTTTTGAATATTAAGTAAGAAAGAATTCCATATCTTGTTTAATGGAACTACTTGGTGTATTTCTTTGCAGCTTCAGAGACTGATTCATTTGCTGTTTGAGAACTTATCGCCGATATTAGAATCACTACCGATAATTGAGCAGTCAGGCAAGTCAGAAGGTGCCCTTGCTCGCTCAGTAGATGAACTTATTCCGTCTCTAAGGAAGTTGCGCAAACTGGAAGGTGACTACATCCTCTAGGGTGTTTCAGTTGTCACATTCTTTACATCTACAAGTTGTTAAGTGCTTTTGTTTTTTTCTTTTTTTTTTTTCCCCTTCAGATCTTTTGGACATGCCTTTAAAGTCTATCACTGCGGATTGGGAAAGTGGTGAACTTATAAGTTGTGGATTCACATCGACCGAGGTAAATAAATGAAAATGGCGAATTGGCATGAGAACCTCCTGATTTAAAATTTTTTGATAGCCCTACTTCTCATGGTGCATTTCTCTGGTGATTCCGTCATCTGTTTTTACTATGGATTGCTCATCATTAATATTATGTTTTGCATTTGTCTAGGTTGAAGACTTCATTAGGGCCATCTTCACAGATTCGCCCTTGAGAAAAGAATGTTTGTTCAGAATTGAAAGTTCTGGCCTATAGGGTTGATGTATATATTTTCGGGCTTGTGATGTATATATTTTCTTCTTTCTCTGTTACCTAAAAGTTGTTATAACTTAGTTTCTGTCTGCATGAAACAAAAGTATTAGGCATTATTACAAGGTAATAGCTGAATACCATACATTTAAAAGTACGAGTCTTAAGACTTAAGATAATTAGGGAGAAATTTTCTTTCGAAGCCATGTAAATCAAGCAAGAAGCTGGATGATTCTATATGAAAGGAAAAAAGTGCCAGCCGATGAGGCCTTCTCGAGATTTTGTTTAATTGAACTGGGGATGGAATATTGATTAGATGAGGAGGGTTCCATTACCAGTTCATTCACAGAGTTTCCGAGCAATCAGTAGCGGTAATATTATTCGCTGCATATATGACAACTTTAAGCGGGAAGTTGTACTATTGCATGAAGACATTAGAGATTGCAGATGCAGGAACCGTGAGATAAAGAAGAATGGAAATGAGGCGCATAGGAAAAACTCGTGATTTGTACTAATTACAAAAACACGGTGGAGACCTTTTTCGAGGGATAGGAAAAACCGAGATGACTGGCAAAGGAAGCAAGAACGTAGTAAATTTGCTCTAGAAGTTCAAATTTTGTTTGCTGAAATCAGGAATCTTTGAAGAGCTTTTCATATGTGAGTGAGAATACACTGATTATAGCATTTGGCATCAAGAAAAAAAAAAAAAAGGAAATACATGTGACTTGAGAAAATTATATCATTCTTTATTATTTTGTAATTCTTTCTCCCTTTTTTTTTTTTAAACAAAACTAATTTTTATTGCAAGAGGTTTTCAGTGGTAGCAATACATATGTGCTAAAGATACTCTATTCCTACTAACTTTATGTACAATGTACAGGTGAAATTGGCTAACCACTTGTCTTATATCGCCAATTAGGCCAGCATATCACACCGGCGGTGCTTCCTCCCCCCTCAATATACCGACGACTGACGGGTTTGTCGAGACCCGCAAAATTAATTTGATTTCCTAACAGACTAAAATTAATTTGCAGAAACAGTGGAATCAGGTCGAATCTCAAGAGAGTCGACTTTTAATACTTGGTTTTACAAAAACGCAAATATAGGGAATTTTTCTTCTTTAAAATAAAATGACAATTTGAAGTAAATAAAACTGGAGAGAAAATTAATAATAGAAAAACTTTGGTTCAAGGAATGATTCAAATATATTATAGATCATCGACTAAAAATACATTTTTCTACAACTCAAGCATTCAACCGTAGGCTTAATAGGATAGCTGTAAAAACGCTTATATTTTCTAAAAATATTTGACCAAGCCCAGCACTTAATCAAAACTTAATATAATTTAACTGGACACGATAGCGTTCCGTGTTAAATTATACTAGCAATAAAAACTTTGAAAATTTAGTTGAACCAAAAACTAAAATAATTGAGATAACTGCAATTAAAATGTTTTTGTCCTATTGATCTCCTAGTTAGACTTATTATGCATATTCAACGTGTCACTACCAACATACATAATCTGCTAATGTGCTACTTAGTGCCAAATATTTAAGACGATAGCGTAGCATAAACAATTTGGTAGCAGTAAGAAGAAAATACTTGATTAAATTGTCAGATTAATCAAGTATCTACTCTTATAAAAAGAAATTAAAATCAACAAGTAATTGAATTAAAAGTAGAAAAAATAAAGTAAAACTTGTAGTCTCACATATAATATAAAAGAATAAAAATCCTTGAACCAAATGAAGAAAACTAGCCACTCATAGTGACTAGAAACATTTTTTTAAGTTTTTAAAAGAAAATGAAAAAACGGCTAAAAAAAGCCTTAAACAAAACTAATGAAAATGGAGAGTGGGGGGGGGGGTAGCAGCTTGCTAAGCTACGGGAGTGGGGTGTTTTTATCAACTGAGGAGAGCACTATTTATAGTGCATAATGGCTGAACAAAAGTCCCAAAGAAATAGGAGTAAAATCCAAATCAAATCTCATCCTAGTTTTCCACTAAATCAGTATTTTTTTGCATGATTCTCTACAACCGAATGAGATCAAAATTTCGATAGTTGACTTGGTAAAAAGAATCTTCTAGGAACCCATTTGTGTGTATTCTTTGCAGCTGGAATTTTCTTCATCTTTTAACTCCGTAAAACTTTGTAAAAGGGCCGTAAAAATCCAAAATGGTCCATCTTTTTACTTTTTGGTACCTAACAACAAAGTCATAACAAAATCTATTAATAATCACAAAAATATAACCAATTTAGGACTAGAAGATTATAATAAAATGAATTTTATTAAAATTATCAAATTCCCCCACACCAAAACTATGCTTGCCTTCAAACATGCTAAAATCTTTTCAAAACTTTACGAATTAGCATTTTGAAAATTTCAGCAGAGATTATAGTTTGTAAAACAAGCAAAGCATCACTCATCATTTCGAAAACATGTATACCCATTTTAATAGTATTTTCAGAATGTACCAAACTTTAATGTCTCATAAAGATTCACTCAATACACTCAAAAGAAAAGGATATTTATAAGTAAGCACTCAATCATAAACATAGTATGCATTCCATAGGTTTGTCATGTATTAAATCCTCTTAGCACTAAATGAACAATCATGCAACATCAAAAGGGTCTTTCATAGGGTTGTAATGGGTCTAGGGAATTTCAAAGGGTAGGATAAATATGGATAAGAAGGCTAAGTTACCGACAATATGTAGACCACATACTCAATTCTCACCATCATTCCAGATGACCCATACGATGGCAACATTGATATACTATTACAAACCAAATCCCAATCTACTAAAAGAACAATTATATAAAACATAAGTCACTAAGACTTTTGATGACCAAGTTATGGTGTTCTAAAAAGATATTCAAATATTGTAAACACCAAACCCCCTTTATTATTATTTTTTGTCTTTCTTTTTCTTATGTTTTTTTTATTATTATTAAAACAAAAACGGAGTTGAAGCATAAATCAAATAACTGAATGGACAGAAAACAGAACATAAGTGCCTTTTTTTTCTTTTCTCTTTTTTCTTCGAGCATATTGCTTTTTTTTTTTCATAACATTTTTTTTTGGCACTGTCCTGACTTTTTGGATATACAGAGCTAAAACATTATTGGACTTAAAACAAGAACACATATCCTATCATACTAAACCTACCATACCACTATTGCCACCGCACAACCACTTTCCGCAAACCAAAATCAAGTAGTGATCATACATACTCCGAATAACAGGTGAAAAGATAGCTAAAAATTAGGCTCCAGATTATATTGGTGGAGCTCGAAAATAGGCACATGCTTGAAATGGTTACTAGGGGTAAATAATTAAGGTAGGAATTTGCGATAGCTAAACTTGGCGAAACCTAAATACCCTTATCATTTATTGCACAAATTCATCAATGCAGTTATGAAATGTGTGACATGAGCAAAAGAGTGTAGTAATATACTATGAATGATAACCCTCAGAATTTGAGCAACTGTGCTCTTTGGCTATGGAAACTCACAGAAAGGGTTAAATTTGCATCAAATATGGCACATTCTTAACCATTAAAACCAATGGGATACACAAAAATATTTTGGCTCTAAATCATTTGAAATAAATTGACAAATTAGCACATATAAAGAGCCAAAATTTTTGAAAAATTTGGAGATTTTGATATTAAAACCAATGTAGGGGGTTATGAAAACATTTAGCAACAAGGAAATCCTCCCCCACACCTAATTTTTACATTGTCCTCAATGTAAGACAACATATTTGCACATATAAGAAGTAAACAAGGAGCTTGGAACAATATCTTTTAAGTGCAAAATAAGAAAAATGCAGAGCTAGAAAAAGATAGAAAATATAGTAGCATTTAGACATGCAAATTTCCTAGTCAAACATCATTTAACTTTATAAAGAACCAAGTCAACCACTTTAAAAAATAGCCAGCAAAACAATCAGTAAATTAATAATAACTGCATAAGAATTGAGTTTTGGAAGCTCCCTGAAAATTTTTTTTTGAGATGTGAAGACTTGGAGTTGATACCACAAGCAGCTACATGGTTCATGATGTGAAAGCAATCACCAATGATGGGGATAATGAAGAGTAGTTGCGATTTCATCATGAGCGAATGAGCTCCTGAAAACAAAAGAAAAAGGATAAATAAATAAAAAAAAAATGCTTAAGTTATTTTTTTTTGATTTTTTAATTTTATTATTATTATTATTATTTTTAATGAAAACAAACTGAAAACAAACTGAAAACAAATGAAATCAAGTAAAATTTGAACCAAATCGAAATGAAAGAAACTTTAAACTTGAACTGCCTCCCAAAAAGCAATTGTTTTATGTCGTTATGCTCGACAACCTCATTTTCTTTCAGTCGGAAAAATAAGTGGGGATTTGCAGGTCAATCCCCTCCACTTGGACAACAGCTGAACATTCCGGAAAAATTTTCAATCTATGGCCATTGACCTTGAAAACTTTGTTAGTGTCTAAGCTTTGAATCTCGACTGCACCATAGGGAAAAACATTAGTGACAACATAAGGTCCAACCCAACGGGATCGGAGTTTTCCAAGCATGAATTTTAAACGAGAATTGTATAATAAAACTTTTTGACCAACATCAAATTGCTTTCTTAAGATTAAATTATCATGAAACAATTTGGTTTTCTCTTTGTAAATTCTCGAATTCTCATAAGCCTCTAACCTTAACTCCTCAAGCTCTTGTAGTTGTAACTTTCTAGACTTACCAGCTTCTTCCATATCCATGTTGCAGCGTCTTACCGCCCAGTAAGTCTTATGTTCAATCTCAACTGGTAAGTGACAAGATTTACCAAAAATAAGTCTATATGGAGACATACCTATTGGCATTTTGTATGCAGTCCTGTAAGCCCATAATGCATCATCCAATCTTTTCTTCCCGGGTTGAATGTTTTCTCCACAATGGACTTAATCTCTCTATTAGAAACATCAGCCTGTCCCTTTGTTTGGGGATGGTATGCAGTAGCAACATGATGGTAAACACCGTACTTTTTCATCAAAGCTTCAATTGTTCTATTGCAAAAGTGACTTCCCTAGTCACTTATGATTGCTTTAGGAATTCCAAACCTGTTGAAAATTTTAGCCTTGATAAAACCTGCTATACATTTAGAATCATCAGTTTTGGTGGCTTTTGCTTCCACCCATTTTGATACATAATCAACAGCTAGCAATATATAAAGAAAACCACAGGAAGAAGGAAAGGGACCCATGAAATCAATGCCCTACACATCAAATATTTCACAAATAAGAACAGGGGTTTGAGGCATCTCATTTCTACGAGACAAAGAACCATATTTTTGGCATTTTTCACAACTTTTACAAAACAAATATGCATCCTTAAACAAGGTTTTCCAATATAAGCCACTATCCAAAACTTTTCCAGCAGTTCTTTTGGGTCCAAAATGACCACCACATGCATAACTATGGCAAAAAGTTAAAATGGATAGATATTCACTTTCAGGCACACATCTTCTAATCACTTGATCAGAACAAAATTTCCACAGGTAAGGATCATCCCAAACATAATATTTAGCATCACTTCTGATTTTTCCTTACTTGATTTACTAAGAGAATTAGGCAAATTTCCAGTCACCAAATAATTGACAATATCAGCATACCAAGGAATAAAGCCTTTTAATTGAAACAAATGTTCATCAGGAAAAAATTCAGAAATAGGCAATGATTCTTCTTCCCTTACCAACCTACTCAAATGGTAAGCAACTGAATTTTCGGCTCCCTTTCGATCTTTTATCACAAGATCGAATTCCTGCAACAGTAGGATCC